CCTGCACAGCTGAAGCAGGTGTGCTGGCTCCCAAACAGCACCAGGAGACAGAGCTGTGAGCAGGCAGCAGGAACACGCAGGCACTGGTGGCAAGAGGGTCCTTGGCTTCTGGTGCACCGGCTGCACATCCTTCCTGGACGCTCTGGGGTCATTAATCCCCAGCAGGGACTCCATTCACTGGTATGGATAATGATACGACTATGTGGTGAGAACTAGAGCATTAGCAATGCAGTGCTCTTGGGAAGGCCTCGGCATGAACTCTGCACTGTGTTCACTGTCACCATCCTTGTCATGGCAGTGCCATTGTGATTAAGTCTCAGGGCTGCACCATGACCGCTGTTCCTGCCCTTATGAGTGCTGCCCATTGGGCTATTTGGTCCTGATCCACTTCTGTGGGGTTTGCAAAACAGGCCAACATGGTGACATTGGTACCTTCGTACTGTAGGTTAGTTCTGTGCCCACCAGCTGTGCCTTGCAATAAACAGACACTGGTCCAGAGCTTTCTCAGGGTCAGCAGTAATGAGCCCAGGAGAAGCCAGACACTGGTGACACTGTCAACCTTCAGTGGATTAGTTCTGATGTGTTTGAATATTTATGTATTTCTATCTCCTACTCCAGACCATGGCCAGGAAATCTTCCATTTATAGAAAATAGCATTGTCTACAACATGTGCCTGGTAATATTGAGTCATAAAGATTTGAGAACAAACAAAAAATAAACAACTTCCTCTCTCAGTTCCTGTAACATGATTGCAGCACCTTGGGTGGAATGCAAACATTCAATCCTTCTCCATCACATGGCCTTCAACACTCCATAATCACTCCCATTTAAGTCTGACTTTAAATGGAGAAATGAAGGAAGGTGACCTGAAGCCCCAACGAGCATGCAGGTCTGTGTCTGCCACTGCAGAATCCAGTGGTGTATCTCCCACTGCCGGCCTCCTGGCGCAATTTTCAGCAAGCAGGGCTCAGCCGCCAACTGTAATGTGTCTGACAGAAGGAACAAGAGGTAGGAGGGGACGTGATGACACTCACGCTCAGCCATCCTCACACTGGCTGGGGCATGGGTAAAGTGTCTGCGTGGAGTCAAATCTGAAGTGGTGGATGAGGAGGAAGACAGGTGGCTCTGCCTCTATGGCCAGCGGCCAGTGGCTGTACTGTCAGTGGAGGGTGCTGGACACTTTTGTGCTGTTTGCCAAAGTCCCAGGGGAGGGACCACACTAAAAAATTCAGATTTTTTTTTTAGGTTTTTTTTTTTTTTTTTCCGGTACTGGGAATCGAACTCATGACCTTGCACCTGTCAGGCAGGCGCTGTGCCACTGAGCTAAATCCACAGCCGAAGAATTCAGATTTTAACTCAACCAATATCAAGTCCTTACAGTATGCTGGGTGTGGTGCTAAGGTGGCTCCATTTAGGGCCAATTCCAGGTATAACTTCTCAAAGGCCTTAGCATAGTGCCCAGCAGAGGGAAGGACTCAATTTTAACAATGCAGCTGAGAATAAATGCAAAATTAGCAATCTTGCTGATTGGTGATATTCTTTGGTAAACTGGTATAAATATGACCTTAAATGTAGTTTTTATGCTATCGAAGTCATTATAGTGGGAAGATTAAGAACCTGTAAGATATGTATATATATATGATATATATATCATAATGATCATAACATATATCATAATAATACCCAAGAATATTAGAACTACTATGATCCTATATATGGCCCAGCATTCACAGAGGTGACAAGTTGTTGTTCCTGCCTCCAGAGGCACCTGCAGTCTGAGTCACTGCTGTTACTGTGAGTTGCTAACTGGGCCCTGAACTTATGGATAGATCATCACCACATTGCCAAGGAAAAATCCCTCAAAATTCAGTGAAGAAGGAACATGCTGTCCTCATCTCCAAAAGGACCTCCTGGAGTTTTATTGATCTGAGCTCCGGCCCCACCAGAAGGTTGCTCTTGGCTGGGCTTTCCAATCTGCCAACATCAGTGTTGTGGGCTGGATGACTGGCAGGGGAGGGTAGTGGGTGCTCAGGGTGTTAAGCAGCAGCCCTGGCCTCATACATCAGTGGCAGAGGGATCTCCTGCCCAAGTTGTGAAAACCAACATTGCCAGGGTCCCTGACTGATAATGTCTGTCCTGGACAGAAAACAGTGTCCTGGTCACAGTCCTCACTAGTTGTGACTGCTGTATTCTTTGTCTTGCTCATTACTGAGTGGAGACAGTTCTGAGCCACCTGTGTGCTGGATGAAGAGGATGCTCTGTCTCCCTGACTATTGTTCCTCAAAATGAAGCAGATCTTTTCATGTATAAAGTGTACAGGGATTTGGATGGCAGAGTCTACAAGCCATTCAATTGGTGGCTTGGAGAGGTGTAGCTGAATTTGAGTGGCAGGAGCACATTTGCTAAGCCGAGAGCCATGTCACACACCAAGTAATCACCTGCTGTACCCTTGGGGAGTCACAGTAGGAAACACACTGATGTGCTATTACCTAGTCCTTCTGTTCAGAGGTAGGAATTGTGCTAATCATCAACAGTCAGCTGATACAGAAAAACCAAAGTAGTTCACTTATATTCTACCTAGAAAATGCTAAAGAGGGAGTGGCCTAGATTCTGCTAATGATATTCTCATGACTAGGAGGCCACCCTACAGAATGAGCTCTTTGCCACAAAACTGCTGGCTCTTCCATCTTTGGAGAAAACCCAGACAGTGATCTATACTTAGACCAATGATGGATAGATTATTGCCATTCCAGGAAGTGGCTCCGGTATGCTTCTGAAACAGTTTTGGGTCTACGGTGACATATGAGTCCTGAGCTACATCTCACAGAGAAGCCCACAGTTTTTCCACGGTCCTGCTCCTTCCTGTGGTGGTTCATTTAAGATCTTCCAGACAATAAATCATGACCCATTGTAGTCTCAGGAAAATCCTTTCATGTCCACCAGCTAAATTTGTTCAGGAAAATTCAAGGCTGGAAAAAAAAAAAAAATCCCCAGGAAGGTCTGTCTCTTTCTTCTACCATCACCCAGAGCTACAGTGCTCGGCTTCTTGAAAGAGAGAAGAGGGCGAGTGTGAGAGAGAGAGAGACAGAGACAGAGGCAGAGGCAGAGACAGAGAGAGACAGAGAGCTGACTTGCTGACTTCAGGAGGATCTTTGGTGAGGGTTGGATGTGGGAGCATTGGGGGAGGACAGGCCACTGCCCTTGTCAATGGGGCTTGTTTGCAGGGCATAGTAGTGGGGTGTCTTTGGAAGGGCACTGGGGCTGCCAAGAGGGCCACACAATGTACTTGTTTCTCTGTAGTTGCTGGCAAGAGTGTTTGTTTCTAGGATGGCTGCTGATCATCTGATAAAAAATATGAAGAATTTCTATGAGAAACAACCCACACAGAAAAGATTCTAAGAAGCCTGTGTACACTGATGAAGCACATGGGAAATATGTTTCAGAGCATAAATAAAACTCTCTCATCTAAGGCAGAATACAGTTTCCTATCCACCACTGCTGCATCTGGACACAGGGCCAGCATCCGGCTCTGCCATGGTGGGCATCTGTCTAGTTTCTCTGTAAACTCCCCCAACAGCGAGGTGGAGAAGCAGGGAAGAGAAACCTGCATAAGAATCCAGATCTAGAAACACAGGGGTGGTGTCTGTGCTGTGGAGAAAAGCAGCTCCTACCCACCCAGCCTCTCCTGCTCTGGCCTCCACTGAGCGTCCGCTGTGACAGCTGCCCTCCAAAAGCCTTGGCCAACATCCCCAGGAGTTCAACCATGATGTGGTAATTCCTGTAACCTCCCCTGCATGTGCTCAGGGCAATGGGCAGGCAGAATCTGGACAATCCACCTGTTGGACCCACACATTAATTGTCCTTCCATGTTAAAACATTTCTTTTTGTTTGAGAAATTAAAAGATCATTTTGTCAGAAAGCCATCAGTTCCTAAGATGTTTTGGTTAGTGTCTTTTTGCCAGCACTAAGTGTTTTCACAGCCCAAGAAACCTGGGGCAGATGCCACCCGTGTGTGTGCACATACTCGAGGGGTGGCTCTTGAAACCACTTGTGTTCAGGAAATGGCAATGGAGATGAGGGCAGCTCGGAGGATGGAGCTGACCATATAGCCATCGTGCTGGGCAGTGTCTTCAGAGCCCAGGAAAGCCACAGGGGTGGCCATGACTCCTGCTACACTCCTACTTGACATAAGTTCCATCTCTCCCCAGACATTCTTGGCAGAGCTGGGGCAGCACACATGCTACAGACATGTTTGGGAACAAGCAAGAACCCACCAGTCATGACGTACAGCCTTGGGCCTTGTCCCTCAGGACCCTTGAGGGAGAGTGGTGGGCTTTATAGAGTCTCTTAAAGTCTAGTAGAGAGAATATACTATGCTCCTTATATATGTTAGGTTCTTATTGTAGGATAGCTCTGGGGTTATTCCACATTTTACCAACTAGAAGATTCTAGAAAATACTATTTCAGACTTTCTAATCAAATGTTTAGCAAACAAAGCTAAAGTTAATATATAGAGATTTGAGAACAATATATATGTTCTTGATAACTGGAAGTAAAACCACTACCTCTCTGATTAAGCTTCTGCAAATAATATTAGTCTACACTAATTTCTTGGATTACTTTTTGGTGGTCAACCCTTCCTTTTAACCCCCCTTTCTCTTTCCTTCTCTTCCTGTCTTCCCCCTTGCCAAGTACCCTGACCACCCCTCAACACTATTTTCTCAAAATGCTGAGAGCTCAGAGTTATTCTTGGTGTGTATTATACATAAGGTACTAATGGTGCTGGTTCCTACATGTTGCATATGAAAATATTAATGGTTTGCAAAACAACTGTAAATGGATGGTTGACCTCATCTCAAATCTAACTGAACTCTGTCATACCACAGCTCAGAAAATGGCAAGCAGAGAATGTTCACTTGTGCTCCCGCGTTCCCACTGATGCTCCCACATACATGCACTGTGCTCACACACACTATGCTCGTGAAGTGAGCCTTCCTTACCTTCACAGCATACTCAGCATCGGTGGCTTTGTGCACACATCGCTTGCATACCGAGTAGGAGCCCACCCCGATGTCCTCCTTGATCTCATAGCCGTCAGTGAAGTGGATATTGTTCCCGTGCAGCTGCTGCAAGAGACCGAGGCAGGAGAGAGCTGTTCAGTGCTCTCTTGAGGAGGCACGTGTACCCACAAAGCCAGGGAGTGTGCTGAGATAGTGAAGAAATGGAGCAATGAAGCTACAGGGTTCCTTCGCCCAAGGTCTAGAGCTATTTAGTGATGGTTCTAGATTGAAAGTTCAACTTTTCTGGTTTCTTGTGCTAGGACACTTAATATTTAGACAAAAGATTATTCTGTATCCACTGACCAGCCTTATTTCTCCCAATATTGTGAGGAAATGGGAGTCAACAAGCAAAAAGGCAGAAACACTTGCAGGCACACGGCACATGGCTCAGAAGCCCATGTCCAGAGAGTGTTTGATACAGACACCTAACTGGAGTCTAAGCCCAGCATCTGAGTACAGTCTGCTCCCGGCCTACACATGAGGTTCTCATCTACCCACTCTTAACCTAGACAAATGTCCCCAGAACAGACACATTGGGCCTTCACTTCACACATCCCACAAGGCCACGGGAGAGAAATCCTGGGGAAATTCAATGCCACCACCCAATCTACCTTGAATAAGGTAAGTTTAATCTAACTTCCTAGAACTTTCTGTATATAGTACCCATGTGTATATGGTAGAAAAATCTATAAAACATCATCTTCATCGGCCTCCCAAAGACTTGGCACCCACAAATCAAACAGCTACCTTAGGGTATCAGCTTGACTCCACGCAGTAAAGATACCTCTGGCTCAGGACACCCAAGGGGATATCTCTGATACCCATAGTGACATTCATGTCATGGTCTTTTCTTACTTCTTGAAGATGGATATACAGCAGGGGCAGAAGTAATGGCTCACATCAGGATGGCAAAAACCATGGCAACACTCAATAACAAGGGAAGGGCCAGGGAAGACTAGGCATCTGACAGTCACCACCTCAGCACCCAGAACCCTGAGATAAACAATCACCACCCAGCCTTGGCAGCTAGCACACCGAGGAGGCCGATTCATGGAATCATCATTGCTGGGCATCACCTGAATATGTCTGATGTCTCACCCACTGGAGCAAACGGAGTTACCTGCACAATCGGGTGAACAGGAGCCTTGTTCAAGTCTTGCTGCAAGGGTTCCTGGACCAGGCTGGAGGCCACAAAACTGAATCCTCTGAACAGATGATGCGCATTGGCACTAGGGGGGACACCAGGTGAGTCTGTGGGAACAGTGGCAGAGCTCAGGCTTCAGGGGAGTGGAGTGAGCTCGGGAGAAACGACGGGGTGCATATGCACATGTGATATGTGCATGGTGAAGGAGACGTAGAAAGCCTAAATCTATGAAATGGCTTTGTTTCCAGTGGTGCCAATGGTTTGATTTTCAACTGGCCAATATACGTTAAGCAAAAACTTTAGGGTAATCATTGACCACATCTTTTACTTTGCTACCTTCTGAATTTCCTAATAATATTTATTATCACAATCCACCACCCATACGTGCTCTAAACTGAGAGAAAGGGTGGCCAGCGATCCGGGGGGATTGCCAGGGAGCAGGGACACCACGTGCTATGCACCTACTCTCTAGGTCCAGCAGGCAGCATGTGCAGGGCTGCAGCCAGCAAGGACCCAGCTTCCACTTTCTGCCCACATCTCGCTTAGGACATTGGGAAAAGTTTTTCCAGCCCACAGCATGCCAGGAGAATGAAAGGAGTTCAAAAGTGCGACTGCGGTATGACCAATCCGACTTCCCGTTCATCACTGAGTAAAACAAGAGGATAAATGGCCACAGGGGGCAATATTTGCGTTGTATATAACAGACAAAAAGCTACACTCTCTATTTTGCAAAGAGCTCCTAGAGATCAATGAAAAAGTCAGGACCCCAAAGATGTGCTAATAGCTATCAAATGTGTGCAAAGATGCTCAGTCTCTCAGATGTGTGGGCATATGCATATTTAAATGAGATTGCAATTCTGCCTAAGGAGTTACTAAAAATAAAAGTAATCAGCCACACCCAGATTTGGCAGGGGGCAGGCAGACTTAGAGCTGAAGGAGGGAGCAACATTCGTACTACCTCCTTAGGTGGGTGGGCCACGGCCACCACAGTTTACGCGTCCTGTGGAGGTCCGTGCTGTTTTGAGGGATTTATCCTGCAGGATTTTTTTCAAAAGTAAATTAATGTAGAAAATGCTTATTTCAGCAGTATTTGGTATAGCCAAAAAGGGGACAACCTAAAGCCCTCCCCTGCATAATTGGGTCCATGCATATCCAGGAGCTTAGTAATGCTTGTGATTAATTCTAGGAAGACTGTGATAATCAGATGGTTAAGTAGGCATCCAGAAGGAACCGCTAGGATAAAACCCGCCCATGATAATCAGATGAGAGGCAGCTGTGTAAACTACTGACACAGATGCATGCTCCCAACAGCTTGCCAAGTGAAAAAGAAAGATATAAGCCGTAGAACAAAATGGAGAACATGCACAGTGTAAGAAAAATATTTAAATATATGACAATGTATAGTAAATTGAGTACATGAATGTAGTATATGGCAAATTCGATGATGTGTAAATTAATATTAAAATATAGCCTATATCTTAATTTTCCTTACAAACACATGTAGAAATTTAAAAATACATATTACATATAAAGTTTTTAAAACCTGCATATATGTGTTCTCTATTTCATATATACCCTAGAATCATTTACCCGAGATGGGTCTGGAAAGGCTTTTGCCCGTCTACTTTCTATCTCTGACTGTTTCTGTCCTAGACAGTTCAGTTCTGGCCCTCACGGGGGCAAGCTGTGTGCGCTGGGTGAGGCACCTGCAGAGAAAACGTGGCTTTTACCCTTCTTTATTCTGTTGTGAGGTCGGGTTATGAGGGCATTTCCTGTGAAATCCAGGGCTGAGACCATACGCTGGCAGGATGCTTCAAGGACTTGGGCTGGTCTTCAGCATCATGGACACAGAGTCAGCCAGACCCAGGTCTTTGCTCGGCACTTGTGACCTTACAAAGGGGCTTCACAAGCAACGCAGGTAGACAAGACCACAGGGCCATGGAACTAACGTGACCAGGGTTGATGGGAAATAAACTTCCAACATCCTGGTGAGGGAAGTTTAATGAGGAGACAAGGTACAGGTGAGTATGTTTTAGGACCTGAAGCTATGCCCCAGGAGAGAGCTGAGGTTGCACAGTGCTTTCATTTCCCCACATACAATTCTAGCTTTGAGGTCTGGCTCCTCTTGCAACCCCCCCAGCTACCGTGCACAGCAATAAAGTCTCCATCAAAAAAGAGCAACTTGACAAATGGATACAGCAGGGTTTAAGCAATCTTCAAACCCCAGAGGTGCTTTAATATTTTCCCTTACGGCTGCAGATTTGAGAACTTGAGCCTGTTCTAGGACTTTGGCTGAGCTGCGCAGTGGCAGATCGGGATCTGTCTTACATACACTGAAGGGAATGTGTGCGCCTACAGAATACAAGTCCTGTTAGTGGAAAATCTGTAGATCAAATAAGCAGCAGCTGTCGACCAACAAAGATATAGGAAGTGTCCGGCACTGCCCAATATGGCCACGGACTTGTACCTCTTCCTGCATGCAGATGGAGAGACAGCGAAAGTGCGAGAGCAGTCAAGGGGTCTTTACAAGTTAAAAAGCTGACATCTGAGTGGTATGGCTGTAGCAGTTGAATATGAGTGGTATAAATAAAATTTGGAATGCTTTATAATCATGTAAGGGATGTTGATTTTTAGCAGTGCTTACAGAAGACCAGAACTATAGGATGGATAAGAAGAAATGTGAAACTAATTGCCTAATTACCTTTAATGACCCTATGAAAATTTTCTGATCTGTGGAATGTGTCTCATGGTTTTCATATCTTAGATTGGTGTCTCACACCAGTCAGCATGCCCCAGTGAGCAGCTGATGTGTGATCAGGGAGCATACACTAGATGACCTCAGTTTAAGAGTGAAAATCAATGACAAGAAACACCCTTTGTGCATCCAGAGCCTGAAGTAGATGACTGGTAGATTATCCACTCCATAAGCCTCACATTGCTATGGCCGCCCTTTAACCCACCCATGCACTCACCTACCTGCTTAGAGAATCTTGCCCTTTTATAAAATTAGAGTGACTTTTCTGCATCTTTAGCATTCCAGTTACTGCCTACCTCCATGTCAAAATGCATGATGTGACAAATTAACTTGAAGCAACACTGATTGAGAATCTGAGATAGTAAGGAACCGAAAGCTAATTCTGGGTGGTGCTGGAATGCACTGCGTCTAAATATGTTTTTCTTAGGCCAATATTACAATTGAATTTTCTCTGTGCACATAAGGCTTATGAGGCGTATGGTTACACTGGCCAACTAGGCTGGAGTCTAAATTTTCCATGAATAATACAAAAAGCACATTGTATGAATAATTTAGAGCTGACTGCATTAGCATCTTCATACCCAGTGGCATAAGTGTGGTCTTGCTTTGAATATTTTAAGCACACAGCCGCACATGATGGCAACTCAGGAAGCAGAACTTCCCCCAGCCGGGACTCTCCAGGTTGCAGGGGTGTGCAAACACACGGACAACCTGCTCCTACTTGGGGCTATGTACCCTCTTGTTCTTTTACCTTCAGGTCAGCCACAGGAAGAGAAATAAAATGACCTTTTCCGGTGACCTGTGGAATCCCCAAACCCTGACTCATCTTCCCAATGTTAGAAACTAAAAAGAAATCCTCTTCTGCAAACTGGGTTAACTGTGTCATTGAGAAGGACTGAGCCCAACACCTGGATGATTTCTCCTCCTCCTTTGCTCCTCATTAACATGCAGCAGAGCTTTAGGGAAACCTAAAAGCCTCCTCACTGATGATGGTTCTGGTTTTCTCTGGGGTTGGCATGGGACCCAGAAGACAGAGTGAGTAACCTGTCACGGCCCCTGGTTTACGTGCACCAAGTCAGGCACTCCTGTTCTTCCTGCCTTGTGCTTAGAGCAGGAGTGGACCCAGGTCCCAGGCACATCCTGCTGCAGGCCCACGGCCCTGTCCTTCTGGACTGGCTCCCACTCACCGGCATGCCTCAGTGCACAGCAGCCCGGACCCATGGGAGATAAAGGGTTTTCTGTGCTCAGACCTAGAAGGGACAAGAGGGTTCTCTGTTCCTGGATCCAGAAAGCATGAAGGGGTTCTCTGTTCCAACTTTACCTATTTAATGCTCATTGTTGATCTTCTACTTGTTTCAAGATTATCTTTAAAAATGCTGGGCAATTTTAGATGCAAAGCAGTGAGGAAACGACTGTGAACCCTGGCAGCCCCTCTAGCAGTCCCTCAGTCCTCCCAGCCCCTAATATGCACAGAGGCTGTGAGTTACTATGGACACAGCCACCACCCCACCACTGTTAGGACTGGGCCTGCATCCCCAGATTCGCATGCTGAAACCATAAGCCAGAGTGGCTGGATTCTGACACAGGCCCTCACTAGAGCAATTAGGGTGAAACAAGTAAGGGTGGGTCTTAATTGGATAGGACTAATCTCCTTATAAGAAAAGGAGGAGACACTAGAGCTTGAATGCTCTCTCCACACTCAGGGGAAAGGCCATGTGAGGACACACTGAGGTGGCTGACTGCAAGCCAAGGAATCCAGCTTGTTGGAACCTTGATCTTGAACTTCAAAACCGTGAGACAGCTAGTGTCTGCTGTGTAAGCTTCCAACCCTGCAGTGTTTTGCTACCGAAGCCCTAGCATACTAAGTCAGTCACCAAAGCTAGAGAAGTAAACACGAATTCATTATTATCACAAGTGATAATTTTAAAGGAGCTGACCAGTTTCTGACTGAACCTGACAGACCCTGAGAGTAATTGTAGACATATCACAAAACTACATTTATGTGTCCACTTGCCGTGCTGAGATCTAGTACTGGTACAACTTTTCAAACAGGCTTTTGGATTTGCATGAATCACAAATGTAGCTCACACATGCATAAATTTAAGTGATAGCCCCTTCTTCCCACAGAAACCCTCTAGTTAAGTGAGAGATCTGCTCCATCTCAACTTTTCTTCGGGGTTTGTGCTTGCATGTCTCCTGAGAGGGGTGATCACTACCTGGTGACTCAAAATGGGAGGAGGGCTACAGAACGCCTTGATGAGTTCCCAGGTGGACTTTACCTAGAGAATACTACAGAACTAGCTCTGCCACTTATACTTTTATCTTGGGGCAGAGAAAACAGGAAACCTAAACAGAATTGGCAGCCATCTTCCATTAGGAGCACCCTCAAATGTGGATACCTCTGTTTTTCCTCTGTCCTCAGGAATCAGATGGGAGAGATCCCTGGAAAGACCCACCACTGTCACATACCTGTGGGTGTCCGTGCCGTGAACTCAGGGTCAAAGTGGAAGGTGTCCTCGGGCCTTCCCACTGCGGGTTTGAAAGGTGGCTTGATCTCCTTCCGGTAGAGCTTCTGCAGAGGAAGCAAGACAGGCTCTGGGGAGGCTGAGACGGGCACAGGCAGACCAGAGATCTGCCTGGGAGGGGCTGTGTTATGGGCACCTCCACCTTTACCTACAAGCAGCTCTCCACACCCTGAACCTGTGTGAACGTGCACAGAATGCAGACTATGTCAGTGTGTTCTATTATAAATGTCACACAGGATATACCAGATGTGATAAAGAATACAGTGAATATTTAAAAAGATTTCTTACAGTAAAAGGTACATTTGCACTAATCCCCCTCAAAATACTCTCCTTGGCTTCAAACACATTAATGTCGTTGTTCTTGCTACTTTCTAGAGCAGTTCTGGAAGTCCTTTTTCAGGAGTGGCTCAGTTGTGCTGTCCTGGCTGCCTTGATGTCTTGACTGATTCAAAATGTTTACCTTTTATGGTCAGTTTGATTTTGGGGAAGAGCTGCAGTGGCATGATGCTAGAGCTGATGAATAAAGAGGATGAGGACACATCTTCATGTGTGCCTTTCGGTTACATGGCACTTGGCAGCAGCATTCATTGTATTTTTTATCACACCTCATAAATACGGTAGTGCAAGAGGACTTCCAGAACTGCTTTGAGTGTGGGTCAGGGCAGAGCACCCTGGAAATGGGAGACACTGGCAACCACAACTTGTGGCAGGGCTGGGAAACTGCAGAGGGTCTTGTGCACCTACACCTTTAGCACGCAGTTGTCCTTATCTTGCTGGGGGTGGCGGTGGTCAGGTCATTGGCTAAAAGTACCAATTCCTAGACACTCTGACTAAAGGGTCTGGAGCTCAGCTCTGGAGCCAGGAACTCAACTGGTCAGGCAGGTCTGGATGGCAAAGGCAGTGACGCTAGGTGAAAGCTGCTATGAATGTCTCAGGGAGAAGGGGAAGCAGATTTCATCAACTCATCAGATAATGAAACTGAGGCTAGAATTTAAAGAGTAATTTATTCAAAGCCAAGAATGGGTAGGCACAAAGGGTACCCAGGTCTCCTGATCCTTCCGAAAGCCCCAAGTTCTGGGCCAACGGTCTGAGTGGGGGGCATGGGGATCATAAGGGAAAGGGAGTCAGAGGCAGTGCTGATCCCTGACTTTAGACCCGGGTCACCTGCTCACCTGTGCTAAGCTGGTCAGAGACCAGGGCCAGGCAGCAGAACCACCCAGTCCGGGAGGGCCAGGGACTGGTACCCACGGAGAATTGTGTGGAACTCAGCCTGCGCTCCCGGCCTTTTCCGGCCCTGGGTGAACAGCTTTGTAGGGAGTTAAGTCCTTCCACAAGCCCTTTCCAGACATAGAAAAGAGGCTGCCTCCTGTCACGATGCAGGCACAGGGCAGGAGCAAACCTTTCTAATTTGCACATTCCTTTGGCGAGCTCTGGAACCCTATGGCTGCTTTGTGCCCAGAGCTCTCCTGTCATGCTTCAGCTGGGTTAGCAGGTGAAATCTGTCCTGCTGAAGTAAAGCCACATCTTCTGGAGGGGGGAGAGAAATAAAAGAAAGAAAATAAATAAGAAAGAAAAGAAAGAAAGAAATAAGAGAGGACGAGGAGGAGGCAAGGACGGAGAGAGGGAAAGGGAGGTGAGAGAGAAAGGGAGGGAGTGGAGGGAAAGGTGGAGGCAGGGAGGGCTTTGTTGCAAAGGCAAGCTTCCTACTGTTATAAGAGGGATGTATTTCCATGAAAGATTTCTATTAAAAACAAAGTAAAGCAGACACAAATAGCTGCCACCCATGCATCCAGTTCCAATGAGAAGCATTTGCCTCTGGGAAGGCAGAGCTCAAGTGGGCCGTTTCAGTTTCTTCTCAGGCCCACAGGGACCCTGTTTTGCGAGGGAGATGAAGCTTCACGTGCCTGAGAAAACAATCCCTCAGATCAGTGCTCCCTCCCTCCCTGCTGGCATCTGCATCCAGCGGGCTGTTTGGCAATTTGCAGAGAGACTGGTCATCACCTTGTGCCACCCGGCATCTAGCGGGTAGAGGCCAGAGTGGCCACTGAACCCTACAAAACTCAAGACAGGCCTGCAACAGAGAGCACCTCCCCTGGATGTCAGTGACAGCCACGTGCCCCACCTGGCCTTTCCTTTCCTCCTTTGCCTGCGGTCTGTCCATCTGCAGCACGAAGAAGCAGATGTGGATGTCAGGGTGATCGGGCACTTGTCCTCCCTAGGGTGATCTCCGACATGGGCAAAGGTGGCTGTGTGTCTCTGACCTTTCTCATGACATCTGAGACAGGGGACAAGCTGTCGTTTCATGAGGAAACTGATGGGAGGAAACTTCATAAATTCAGGCTGCCCATGAAAACAAGGTTCATCTCCAGCCAGTCCTACTTGGGCTGGATTCACACCAGGAGGCTCCAAGATTTTGTCCAGAAAGAAAAAGGACTCATTAGAGTCAGAGTCAGAGCCTAGGAAGGGTCCTCTGAGAGCCTCACTTGGTTGAGAATGTTCTACAATGCATCAGGGGGCTGGAGAGAGAGGGTAAACACGTCCCTCTGTCCAGGACGCTGCCTTCACAGCTTGGCACAGGCCCAGCTGTTCACTGTCCGTACTGTCCAGGTTCTTCCTCGCCTCTCCACACCTCTGCAAGCTCGGTACTGGAAGCCACCAGCGGGTCCCACTGAGCAGCCACAGAACCCAGTATTCATGTGGAGCATTTGTGTCCTGGTGATCACATGGCTTTATCAGGCAGTTTGTAAGTATGGGCGTGGGGCCACTCTGTCCTCTGCCCCTGGATGCAGAGCAGCCTCCGCATCCCTCTCCTAAGCTCTCCTAGATGTGTACAGTACATCACCCTCCTAGGGCTCTCCTAGCCAGGTGATCTGCCCTTTGCTTTGTCATCCTGGATGCTTGTTGAGATTTTTAAAGGGGGCTCAGTTTCTTCCTGTTTTAGCATAAATATTCTGGAAGGTGCTAATATCTGTGCTATTACTATATACGCTTTGCTTTTCCCTGTGTTCAAACCTAAAATGGATTGGAAGTGTGTGGTGATCTTTCCTCTGCTTCTGAATGCAAATTACAGCACACACAGCTGAGCTGAGGAGAAAGTGGCAGTGGCATTCTCATAGACTTGGGACTCACAGGGATGTGTGGTAGACATTCTAACCCAGAATCCCCCTCTCTAAGACTCTAGAACAAGACATATCCAACCCAACAGGAATAAAATGGGGCTTTGTGGTTCCAGGCATCAGTTTAAATTACTTTATTTGTCCAAGGATGCTGGATGGCAGAGGTCTAGCAGTGACCTTGAGGCAGAGGTCATACCACACAAACATATGCAAGGAACCTCTAAGCAGGCACATTAGCGTTCTGTTTATACCTAATGAACCTTCAGATAAATAAGAAAAGGACAGAGAGAATGCAAAAAAAAAAAAGGTAACTGGATAGGGGAGGAGGAAACTGGTTCTAATTTGGGGCCACAGACCCTAACATCTGCTTTCTGCAGTTTATATATGCCAATAAGGCAAAGGACACATTTATAGGCTATTCCTGAAACAGTAAGATAAACATATGCAGGTGCAGGAAGGTGGCAGAATGGAAGTAACAGGGCAAATTTAAATGATTTCTAGGGCATCATGGGGGGCAGAGCTTTACCTGCAGTTTATCCCAACTGCAAGGGATTCTACAAAGGCATACAGATTTACAGAACTGCTAAATCAAAGAGTCCTTATTGTGACCTTGAAAGGGTGCTCCCTTGATATAGTTAGCATAGGGACACAGTGATGGAAATCTTTCTCTGGGCATTGGGAGTGGAGATGGGTGTCCAGGCCCCTGACCTGACCCAGTGCCTGAATTCAACTCCTGTGAGGTGCTGGAAATACTCTGCCTGTAGACAGCAAGGCCAGGGTGACCTAGAAGCTCCCACTCTGCTCCTGCCCATGCACATGACAGCCAGGGGCACCAAACCACAAGCTGCAGGTCCCCAAGTGACCTGGGCACATTTCTGAATGCTCTGTACCCAAGTTTCCCCTGGAGTCCCTCACCTCACAGAGTAAGAGCTGCTGATATGCTTGGAAGGGTTCGAAATATAAAAAGACCATAAGTAACTCAGACTAATAATAACAACGATAATAAAAGTAATTGCAATCACACATGGAAAGTGGTTATCCTTGGGGTCTTGGCATGCGCAGTGCTCCGTGAACAAAGAAGCAGAGCAACCAACATCTTCTCCCTGTGACAGTGCACCTGGCACAGCCCTGAGCTCTGCTGGTCTCACCCAGGTCGCTGTGCAAAGGAAGCCACTGGGGACTGGCTGGTGCAGCCTGCACATTACCTTTTATGAAGCTTATTTTAGGTTCACACTAATCCTGTGTTCTTAGCATTGCTTCAGCCACGAAGGAAAAATAAACACAGCTTGTATTTGCTGGACTCCAGCACACCCTGTAAGAGGTTTCCAGTCTATAATTAACTTGTGATTTTTCACTTAGCTGGTCACACGAGAGAGCCTCCGGAAGGCTGCCCCGGAGCATATGTTAATGTGCCGGGCTCAGAAAGCAAGAGCAAAGGCAACACAGTGCAGATGGGCACAGCCCACTTCTCTTGTCAGCAATGTGTTCTGCTCCAGCAGGTCACCCAAGCCCTCAGGGGATGGTTGGTGGATGACAGGTGTTTATTTAAAGAAAAAAATCTGCTGGCAGTTATGGGTTGCTGAAGGCAGCAGAGAGGAAAATAAATATCTTTGTGTTTTCCCAGCTGGGTCCTGAGGCAATAGTCTGGGTGAGGTCCCCTGGCAGTCATCTAATGGCCAAGGAATGACTTCTCCTTCATCACTTCCGAGTGTCAGTATCCCGGGGGGAAGTGTCTGGCATGATGTTGCAGCCAGGAATGAACTGTGGCTGACAACCACAAGGGCACATCTGGACCATAGACTGCTGAACGAAACAGTCCTGAAATACACTCCCATGAGCTTTCTACACAGCGTGTGGCAGTGGGTCCAGGCTGGTTACCAAGACACAGGGGCCGTTACCTTGGCCACAGATGCAAGGACAATGCCCAGACCTTGCCTAGGGAAGGCGTCAGCAGAGGTGGGGAAATCGCTTATCCTGTCTTAGCACGGCCTGCATGGCTACCAAGACCATTAAGACCATGTGGGGCTAATGGTTCTTTCCAAGACCCTGCACAGTCATGCCCATGGTCTTTGTTGAGAATATCTTTCCTGTCCTCCCTGTGCCCTCTCTTGGTGAGTTCTCAGGCCTCTCCTCACCTCTGCTTGGGCCCTTACCCTGTGTACTGCTTCTATGGTAGGTGACAGTCTTCTGGTGCAACAGATTCCCCAGCTATGAGTGACTTCAAGGGGTCCTGAGAGTTCTCCACCTACAGGTGGCTCAGTTTGGACAGAGCTGCTATACAGCCACCAAGCAGCTGCCTCCTCCCCCACCTCTTTCCCTGTATCTGTGAGCTGCTGGGGACTGTGGCATGCAACTTACGTTCCAGTCGATAGTAACAAAGAAAGGGTGACGCTTAATTTCCTCCACTCCATCAATACCGGCGCCTGTCAAAACAATAAAGCAGAGATGGCACATCAGAACAGATCCAAGCTCACCCGTTGTCTCTGACAGTTCCTAATATGGCAGCATGAGGGGTGGGGGTCCGAGAGTGGACCTGTGAGCTCAGGCGGCTCCCACTCTCCTGTGAAGCCCCCGATCAGCATGTGACAAGGAGGGGTGGACAAGAGGTGGTGAAGAGAAGGCAGGTGTGTGGGCCTGATGCTTCCTGCACCAGGCCTGAAAACGCTGGACACCCAAGAGGGGGCAGGTGGCTGTCATGGCTGAAGGCTGTGCCTACTTGAGCTGGCTGCAGTGCAGCCTCAGGTGGAGCCTCTGGGAGCCAGATAAAGCCCAGCAGAGTGGAAAGGGCCCGGGGCAGAGCACCTGGATCTGCTGCTGTGAGGCCCGGATAGGGAAGGGAAAATCCTGTGGGGCAAGGTGGAGTTCTGGCAGGACGGAGCCCAGGGCATTCTGCTCAATATTTTCTTTAAGCAAACTTAAAACTGCTCTAAAAATAAGATCTGTTAACTAAAAGAAAGAAATAACCCTTCAGCTGTCTGAAGTTGGTGCTTTCCCCAGGATGGCAAGGCCAGGGAGAAGCCTGATTCCTCCCTCCTGTGAGTCAGGGAACAGGATAGAGGGGAGAGTGGGCAGGGGTCTGGGTCTCCTGCCAAATCCGGCCCCAAGTGTGGGGAGGCATGGGCCCTACTCTGCACAGGCAGCGCCTCTCCACTGCTCTGGTCAGGCTTCCTCCCAGAGTCCGTCTCCAAGCAGCCTCGCCAATCCCATCCCATGCTGTCCCATGCACGGCTCCCACTGTGTGAGAAACGTAGAGCAGAGAGCCAAGAGCGAAGGACAGCACAAGGGCATCCTGCGATTGGGTGGTGACCTGTCCTTCTCGGGCCTCACTATCTGGTCTGTGATGTTAGGGGACTGACCCTTTCCCCACAGCATGTGGGAGTCACTGGAGATAGAGCCCTGGTGGGCTCCATGGCTCCTGCTCTGTGACCCTTCTATTCCTGCTTATGGGAGGGACATGGACAAGGCCTTTGGAATGAATGCTGTCTATGTGGATGACAGCCCAGGGCCACCTCCCATCTACCCCTTGGAGATTATCTAGGTCTTGTAATTGGAAAGAATTGCTTTGACCAAATGTCCTACAGCATTCTCTGGTCCCTCTCTGCCTAGGGCTGCTTGGATATGAAACATATAGGTGGAGAAGTAGAGAAAGGTCTAGGGACTGAAAATTTCTCTACCCACAAGAACCTGGTGGAGGCAGCAGCACATCTGCTCCTCACTGTGGGGCAGAGACAGCAAATGTGCCTCTGGATTATCTGCCATGTATGAAGTGGCTGCTTCATCGATGAGAAAACTGGGGTAGGAAAAGGTTGGGTACCTTGCTCCAGGGCACATCAGCTATGTGCTGTAGCAATGGGATTTGAAGGTGGATCTGCCAGACTTAGTCGAAGTGTACCTTTCCTGGGACTCCACATTGATCTTCAGATCCTTGGGATCTGGATCTTTCCACAATGGACACCACACTAATGACCTGTCCCCTGATCTACCTATGTGTCTCCCTGTCTCCCCTGTTCTGCCGGAGACCCCAAGACCAGAGGTCAAGGTCAGGCCTGTGCATTCTGAACCCCTTGTAGCCCTTGATGGTGCTCAAAGCCTGCTGAAATAGCTTCCAGGGTGAGCAGCCCAACTTCCCAGGCCATTTCCCCATGGCCATCCCCTGCCTCCTGGGGTGACGACCAGAATTCCAGGTGAAAAAGTCTTCCTGGCGCTGATGGTTGGGTGGGAGGGAAAACATGGCTCCTCTAATGCCAGCCATGCAGCTGGGGGCCTCCTGGTACCTCAGTACCCCATACCCGTACAGTGACTCATGGCCCATGTTTCCTGGAAGTTTCTGCTTCCCACTGCGTACCCATGAATTTAACTCCTTTACCTTGCTTGTCAGTGTGGTCTGCAGAAATGACAAGCACCATGCGAGGGAGATGTGGGCACTGCAGAAGCTGGGTGCTGGGGGTTTTGGGATTACTCAGCCCGCATACTCTTACTTGCCTTCTGTCTTCCTCTGCAGTTAGAATTTGGCACTGTTTGGGTTTTGAGCCCTGAGCAAAAAGAGCTGATGGTGAATGAACACTTTATCGCTCCAACGGAGAGGGGTGGAAGGATGGAAGACCCAGTTCTTCAAAGCCTGCATCAGCCTTGTAAGGACAAATGTGTTTATGGTTCTGGATTTTAGTCTTATTTATCCTCTCCTGAAATGTTTTAAAATAGGTTATTTTGCACTTGGCTCCCCTTTAATGTAGACCAAACAAATCTGAGAAATAGCAGAGAGTGGAGGGCGGGTCAGGGCGGAGGGAAAGTGTGTGTGCTGCGCTCTGAGCCAGAGAGACACGCTGTGGGGTCCTGACCAACACTCCGCTCCGGGAGGGTGCCTGTGACTCCTCTCCACCACAAAACACTGGCAAGACCTGGAGCTCACAGCTGGAGATCCAGAGAACACAGGAGCTGAACATCTCTCTTGTGAGGCTCAGTGATCTCTCATTAACTCCTACAGTGCAGAAGCAAACAGTTCAGTGGGACAGTGGGCTCAAGGACTCAGATTTGATCTCTGCAGCAATAACAATAACAAGGTTCTAATCACTCATGGCCTATTTCCACGTTGAGTGCCCTGGAGCATGTTTGTCTGGACCGGGTCTCCATTTCTACTTAGGTGAAGGGTGGGATGTAGATTTGAGACACTACTCAGTGTGGGGAAGGGTCTCATTCTCTCATCGCCCTGTCTGACCCAGCTCCTCTACTTCACATGATTAATGCAGGAGCCCCCTCATTTCATCGTGGGCTTCTTAATTCTCAGAAAGTAGTCCCCAAAGGTCTTAGTATCTGCCAAGAAGATTTTTGTTATTATTATGTCTGCATGTAGCTCTGGGAAATAGTTGATTTCTTTGCAACGTTCACATTTTTGTTGTTCTTTTAGTCATGCAAAGTCCACCTGGAACTCTTGAGCATTCAGAATGTGCTTGGCTGAGGCCCTCTTCCTGGCACACTGCCTGCTTCCCTGAGTGGCAGATGGGAAATGTCCAGTGTGTCATTCTCCAGGTGATGTCCAGTATTGATTTAAATGTGGGCACCTGTCTGGTTTTTTGTTTCTTAATAATTTATAGGTTATCTACCCATTATTTCTTTAGCTTTTAAAATGTTTTCTGCTCATTTGGAATTTCATCCTCTTGATCTTTACAGTCCTTGCCTACCAGTGGCCTTAGCCTGAAGGGCACGGCAGGGGACAGCCAGGGCTGGTGGGTGTGTGCAGTTCTTCAGATATCCTCAGCCCCACGGCTTCTCAAGGTTTCCCTGGGCTGCATGAGAGTGAACCAGCTCCAGGGAGACGCAGGAGCTGTGCGTACGCCCTCGAGCAAATGGAAGAGGTTGGCTTATAATGTGAGTTTGCAGCACTGCTCATGGAAACCCAGATGAGCCTTCGGCAGCCAGGATGGACAACATTTGACATAAAGGCTGCACATCTGCTAGAGCTCACTGCAGGGCGGGAAACAGGAGATATAGAACCCCGCCCCCCAGCAGTGTGAGGGCCGTGAAGAAAACATGATTCCATTAGTTGATGGCTGTTTACTTGCTGTGCTATTTTTGTGTTCATCAGCATATTTAATTCCTTCCTAGCCTTTGACTGGAGTCACCTGGGAGAAACACCCAAGAGTTCCTGGGTAAAGCCATAGATCCTTACCAGGTGTGAGCTAGAAAGCTCTCGGCTTTGAGAAGAAAGGTAGGGAAGCAGATTCAGTAGTTTTATGCTCCCTGTAACTCTTCCTGTCCTGTAGGAAAGTCAGGAGAGGAAAAAATGTAGCTTTGAAAACCAGCTGTCCTAGTACCTGTCACACTGTGGTTAGAAATTGATATGGCATAAACTCCTGTCAGAAGAGGCTTTACTCAAGTCAGGATGCAGTGAACCATACTCCACCTGGCCCAGCCCTCACAGCTGGTCACAAACCTGCTCCTCGGGCTGGGGCCGGCTATCACCTGGGTCCAAAGGCAGTGAAGTCTGATGTGCCCTGCTTTTGCAAAGCGTAACCCAGAACCTTTCTCAGTCTGCCTCACTGGGGAACCATGTGGTGACTGCGCCCCGGCTTCCGTCTTGCTTTTCCTTTATACTACTCTGAAATTCCTGGATTTGCAAATTATATACAGTCACAGAATGCTGGGCTGGGAGGGACCTTGAGGTAAGGGACCTGAAAGCTATCCAGGGGCAAAGAATTCCAATGGACTTAGCCGTGGAACATGCCTGCTCCTCAGCCCAGACCTGTTTACTCTGCACAGCTATACCTGAGCAACTGTTCTGGAGGAGGCTGATGTGCCCCTGCCTGAATCCTCCAGCCAGTTCTTCTCCTTTTTGCCTGGAAATCCCAGGCACCCACAGACAGATGTGCCATTCTTTTCTCCTCTTTTCTCTTCTCTTCTCTTCTCTTCTCTTCTCTTCTCTTCTCTTCTCTTCTCTTTTCTCTTCTCTTCTCTTCTTTCTTCTCTTCTACCCTCTTCCACTCCCAGCAGTACTGGGAGTTGAACCTTAGCCCTGAGCTCCATCTCCAGCCCTTTTTTTTTGTATTTTTGAGACAGGGTCTTGCTAAGTCCCTAAATTTCCCAGGCTGGGCTCAAATTTGTGATCCTTTAGCCTCAGCCTCCTAGAGTGCTAGAATTACAGATATGTGCCACCACGAATGGCTGTGTGTACCTTTGTTTGCCTTTGTGACTTTGCATAGAATGCTTCTTGGACCTGAAATGCCTCCCACCCTCAGCACACTGCACATACTCTTAGAGCAACCTGTGCATTCCCATGGAGCAGCCCTGCCACCCTGCTGTTCTGGGGTTCTGCACTCTCTTGTATCTATGATCATCTCACAATGTGTAATAAGCAAATGCGTGGTGAAGACCTTTCATTGAAGTGCTGCCTATCCCACCATGGCCTGGACATGACCACAGATTGCCT